AATGGCTTGACTTGCAGCGAGATGTGACCTGAACTGGTACATGAAATTCATGCGAAAGAATGCCGCTCTTATCAGGCTATCAGCACGTGACGCCACAACCCTGCAGAGTGAAATCAGCCCAGAGACTAAATTGACGACACTAAGTAGTATATTGTTGACAGGATACCTAGAAACCTAAATGGCATCTGAGCATGTTTGGATAATTGAAAACCGAGGGGGACTCTTAGATTGACGAAGTAGAAAGTTCTCCTCGCTGTCTCAATACTTCCAGGTTCCATTAGTGACTTCTTAGCTGCACCGCCACATTTGATATCGATAAGCACCAGCCACAGTTGCCTCCCGCTGCCAAACAAATCAAAAGATTTTTTTCTCTTCTGCTCGGAGAAAGAAGAAATCGAAAAGCGATCAGAGCAGAGTCAAATTCCGGGCCTGACTCCGCCTTCTCACACACACCTGTCTCATCTTCACTCAATTTCTGTCCTCATTCGTCTCTGTCAGCCCTTCTCTACATCTAAAAATGGGTGATTCGAACGGTGTCGCCGCTGAAACGGCGGAGAGATTCGCTATCGGTATCTCGTTTGGTAATTCCTCGAGTTCTATTGCTCGCCTCACTCCTGTATGTTCCCACTGGTTCATCATCCGATATTGAAGCATGAGGGGTATTCTAACAGTTCGATCTATAGGAAGGCAAGGCTGAAGTCATCGCCAACGAGGAAGGAGGTACGTTGATCGCAGCCCCGCATGAGCACATCTCCGGGCGATATAGATTTATGAAGCAGAAGCTTACCAAGACCTGTAGATCGTCAAATTCCTACTGTTCTGTCCTACATTGATGGTGAAGAATACCACGGCACTCAAGCCAAGGCCCAGCTTGTCCGCAATCCCCAGAACACTGTTGCATACTTCAGAGACTATGTTGGCAAGAGGTAATTAGCCCTGGACTTGGACTTCGCTATTCGAAGAACAAGCATGCTGATTATGCGTTACACAGTTTCAAGTCGATAGATCCTACTCCCTGCCACCAGTCAGCGCACCCTCAGCAAGTCGACTCCACTGTTGCCTTCACCATCCGGGATACCGCCAGCGAGACCACCAACACCGTCACTGTCTCCGAGATCACAACTCGTCACCTCCGCCGTCTGAAGCAATCGGCCTCGGATTACCTCGGTAAGGACGTCAATGCTGCCGTCATCACCGTTCCCACCGACTTCACCGATGCTCAGCGCGAGGCCCTTATCGCTGCCGCTGGCGCCGCTGGCCTTGAGGTTCTCCAGCTCATCCACGAGCCGGTTGCCGCAGTCCTGGCTTACGATGCCAGACCCGAGGCTGTCGTTACTGACAAGCTTGTTGTGGTCGCTGACCTTGGTGGTACCCGTTCCGATGCCGCTGTGATTGCTTGCCGTGGTGGCATGTACACTATCATCGCAACCGCCCACGATTACGAACTCGGAGGAGCAACCTTGGATCAGGTTGTTATTGATCACTTTGCCAAGGAGTTCATCAAGAAGCACAAGACCGACCCTCGCGAGAACGCCCGCGGTCTCGCCAAGTTGAAGCTGGAAGGTGAGGCCACAAGAAGGGCCTTGAGTCTGGGTACCAATGCCAGCTTGAGCATTGAGAGTCTTGCGGACGGTATTGATTTCAGCTCAACCATCAACCGGACCCGGTACGAGCTGCTTTCGGGCAAGGTTTTTGCTCAGTTCACTCGCCTGATTGAGCAGGTTGTCCAGAAGGCGCAGTTGGATGTCCTGGATATCGACGAGGTCAGTGGTTATTAGAATACTTCCTTGGAAATCCATGTCCTCAATTAACTGTTTCTTCAGGTCATTCTCTCCGGTGGTACATCGCACACACCCAAGATTGCTCAGCTGGTCCGCAACATGTTCCCCGAGAAGACGCAGATTCTCGCCCCCTCGACCTCTGCCAGCGCTATCAACCCCTCCGAGTTGGTTCCTCGTGGTGCTGCCATCCAGGCCTCTTTGATCCAGGAATTCGATAAGGAAGACATTGAGCAGAGCATCCATCCCATGGTTACTGCCACTCCTCATCTGCGCAACGCCATCGGTGTCGAATTCGTGCATGGAGAGACCGTCGAGTTCAAGCCTCTTCTGAATGCCGAGACCGCCCTGCCTGCTCGCCGCATCGCGCAGTACTCCGCCCCTAAGGATGGTGGTGACGTCCTTGTGCGTGTCTGCGAGGGTGTCCGCGAGATCAAGGTCACCAAGCCTGAGCCAAAGCCCAAGGAGGAGAAGCCCGCCAAGGCTGAGGATGACGAAGACGAAGACTCCGACTTTGACTCGGATGAGGAAGAGGAGGAAATCCGTGAGATTGTATGGAAGACCGAGAAACCCGTCGCCGAACTTGCGGTCAAGGGCGTCAAGGCTGGCAGCAAGATTGAGCTGATGGTTCACGTCAACGCTGATCTGGGCATGCAGATCACCGCTCGGGAAGTCGGTGGTCAGAGTGCTGTCCGTGGCGCCGTCGAGTCGCCCAAGGCTTAAGCAGTAATCCGGGCCTCCGTATTCTCCTTTAAGAAAACTATCTATCGTCTTGAAACAGGCAACGTCATGGGTAATGTCATCCTTTATACGAGTTCATAGAGTATCTAGATTTGATCAATTTCACTTTTGGCATTTTCTATACTTTCATGTTGCTCTTCTTAGATCTGGGTGGCTCCTACATCGCAAAATCTGTCGGTTTGATTTTTGAGTATACTAATTGTATACTTGTCATGGTATTGTCTTCTCCCAAATAACGAATACATACCCTGTTGAAGATAACAGTACCTCTGGCTAATTGGATTATGCCTAAAAGAAAGTGTGATGACTTATTGGAACAGAGGAATTATATTACAAATTATTAAATGGATAAGATAATAGTCCAAACATCGTCAAGAGCCGTCAAACAAACAGCAAGCATACTGTAACAGGGGGCAACTGAGGAATTAGAGCGCCGTAAAGATCAAACATGTACCCACTTCATAAACACGTAAAATGAGCGTAGGGTCGGAAGAGGTGTCGAGGTGTCCACCGATAAATCATTGCTTCGAGGGCGTCCTCTGGTGCAGGCCCAGAGTCCAGGAATGCTTAGTGAGCGATAACGGAATCCTATATCCGTTGTATTGAAGTTTCCGTGCAGAGACAGCCTTAAAAGCTCAGGAGAATGGATCGTGATCCTAAGAGCAAGGACACGCCGACACTTGTTCATCTCGGGCAAAAGAGACGAAACAATATTTACGGTGCGGTTTCCTTGTTGCTTCTCAGGCTTCCTGATCGGCGGGAATTGAAGAAACCGCGCCGTCTCTGTTCCCGTCCGCTATATCCGCTGTCCTTTCGGCCAACGGCGCCTCCCATGCAGTAGATCACACAGGAGAAGAAGAGGAGAGCGACGGAAGTCCACATGAAGGCGAAAGCCTTAACACCGAGATGAGATGATTGGCCGTTGTTGTTGAATTTATTGCGACCCTGGACGTAGACAGCGCTATTCCAGTTGTCAGTTATATCGAATTCTATATTCAAGGACACATTGAATGATGAACTCACGTCATCAGGGAAGTGGTGATGGCCTGGAAAGTTAGCGCAAGGTACGCTGAGAATGCCGAGACCCAATTTCCAATGCGGGTGCACATGGCAAGGAAACCAGTGAGGAGCGAGCAGGTAGCGAAGAACAAGGCGATGATGTGGAATGGGAACATGAAGCGGGAGGTCAAGAAATAATGGCGGGTCCTATGTATCGTTAGTTGATGTCATACAAGATGTCCGATCATTCGTGTCAAGGACATGCTGCTGCTCACCCGATGAAAGCTGAAGGCACGTTGACATCGGTACCGAAGTTTCGGTGGCTTGGGGGATCAAAGGGGTAGTCAGGATACGACGTTCCACACTCATTGTGTCCCTGGCTGTTCACTGCACAAAGTTGCCAGTATGTCCATCGGGACAAGGCTGGTGCGCCGGGGATGTTGCCTGTGTCAGCTTCAAGCCAGTAAATCCTGTCCAGAGGGTTCGAGTTCCTTGCTCCTCCGAGAAAAGCGAGGAACATCAACAGAAGAGCTGAGGCCGTAAAGAAAAGGCCTAGGAAGCCTAGACCCACTCCTGTCGCAGCGTGTTAAACGAGACTCTCTCAAACTATCAGAGCGATACTCACTGCTCAAAACCACCATCTTACTATCTCTAACTCGGCGTAGGGTTCGTGCCGGTGTGAAGGACGTATTATTTCGGCTGGAAGTAGTTGGGGGAAATACTGGGTAAAAATTAAGAACTTAACACAAAAGGTCCGAGGACGTTATGTAGACAGTCAGGATAGAGTCGTTAAGAAGATTTCGAACGTATGCCGCAGAGAATGCAACATGGGCGTCGGCAATTATATCAATGATCCGGTGATCCCGGGTACCCCTGCGGGAAAGGGTAGAATTATTGGGGGTAGTGATATAATAATGAGGATGCATCATGACTCTCCATGTCATTGAAAGTTAATTGCTCGTTGTGTGGCACGACCAGCATGATACCATCCACTGATTCTTGCTTTTTCCGCTGGACAGAAGAGCCAAGAGCACCAAGTGATGATCTCGACGTCATCATTGTACCCAACCCCACTAGCCTTTTCCGGATAGCCGCTACCTTAATGCCCAGCACTAGACCCAACAGAGCCTAGTGCACATCACATCCATGACGTCGTCCAACTCACTCTCAACTGCGACTGTCTCCATTTTCTCTCCATTTCTCCTCCCCTCGGCCCAGTGGCTCTGACGTTGCACCATCCATGGTGGTCGATCGGGTTGCAAACTGGCTCCAGCTCTGAGCCTATGAGACGATGAGATTATGACCTTTACTTGACTGGAATCGGATCTAGTCTTTCGAAAATTTTCTGCCTGGCCAGTCCAACTCCCCACTGTGGACCTGCCTGTGCCCTTCCTACCTCAGCCCAATAGGTGCTACTGTCCACTGCAGCCTGGGTACTAGATCAAGCACATCTTGATGTTGGGTTACTTGTGAATATTCGTGATGGCAACTTGGGCATACCCACCTTTGCCTCCAGATTCGTTGGAACGGGAAGCGGACAGTGCTTTGGTACGTATCCCAATGTTCCATTGTGCGTAGATTATTACTTATCTCTCAACATTGGTCCAGGCACGGGAATTAGAATGGCTGCTTCGGTCTCTACAGGACTCTCTAGTGGCATTGAGGGAAGGCCTTCGTGAGTGTGCTGCATTACTGGCTCCAAAAGAGCCCGGCTCGACGCTGGTGCTGTCCTCTCTCCGGTCGGAGAGTGTCAAAGGCTTCGTGACCAGAGTTGGAACCAAAGTGGTGAAGGGGGTATGCTTCTGCGCCATCCTTCCTCGCATTGTCAAACATGCTTTCTGCTGCCAAGTACTACTTGCGATGTGGCTGCTAATGTGACAGCGACGTGATAGGACATACAACTGCGCCTTAGCTCTCTTGCATCTGCCCGTGGCACACCTACTACCCGTCTATGCGTATCCAATGCTCCTGGCGCTCCAGAGCTCGTCCTTAAACAATTGTCGTCCGTGCGAGATCTCGTCAATCAGAGCCTCGATGTCGTAGATGTAAGCACATGGACCGGTGACCCACTGGATGCCAGTTTCATTTTCGGTCAACTGCATCTTTTGCATGAAACTATTATGGAGGCGCGGCACGTGCTGAAAGGGGAGAACGATAATGTGCAAGGCAAGTGGTGGGAAACCAGCGCGGAGGATAATGTGAGTCACTCAACGTTACGGGTGCCTGGTAGTGATTTCCGTGCTAATGGACTACAAGGTTTTCGACCCTCCACTGCCGCCAGATCTCTCGTTCCACCTCTCTATTGCGGATTCGGCTCTTGTGCTCTATCTGAGAACCCTTGAGACTACTACGCCTTCTCATGCGCCGACAGCCTTTGCTACCGATATCTCGCTTACCGGGTTCAACATTCGAGACCGATTATTCGGGCCACGGCATCGCCCTCATGACGAGATGGGCGATATTTTCGTTTGGAAAGGAGAAGAGGTAAAAGTAAAGGAGAAGATCCGTGTTGAGAGCCAGGATCCTAGTCTGATGGCGGTCATGGCCAAACTCATGGCTCTGGAGCACGAAGTGATGAAATGGTTGACATCCCTGAAAGTGCTAATGGGCACTGAGGACACAGACAGTGATTCATGATATCCACAGTCACCCTTCCAAAGCCGAATACAATAACAATTTTTGAACGAAGAATACCTGGTTGGCTTCGCGGCTGTTTGGACAAATTGTTTTCAGATAAATATATTATGTAATCGTAGAAATTCTAAACAACCAATGAGAGCTGTGGAATTCCGACAGGAACACTACTGCGTCTTGGCGAAAGTTTTCCCATGTAAAGCTCCGCGAGTGGCGTTACAATTTCTGCCCTCACTCATTGCTCACCAGAATTTTGGTTCGGTGCGCTTGGGAGAAGGTGTTAGGATGCTGTCAAGGTCGCCAACATTGAGGGCACATCGATCATGTTCGCATGATCTTGTGCGCACAGTCTACAATTCGCCGCGGACAGCATCGCAGCAGCTCCGCTGCGGAGCTGCAAATTGCATCGCTCAACGCGTGAAAAGCACTTTGTCTCGCAGGGCGCCATCCCATACCTCACATACGATATTATTCAGAAGTACTTCCGGCAACAGTACCGAGCGATGGCAGATCGGGCGCCGACAAGTTTCGAGCAATACGCCCTCAGATACTCATCCTTATGCGGACCGAAAAGACACAATTTACGCTCTGGTCGATAAGATCAATGAAACCGAGCTGGAGCTTGCGGAGCTTATGGATGATTTGGGACTGTTGGAAGAGTATCAAGGAGTTTTGAATCTTGAAGGCCCCGAACTCGACCATGTGTTCAGCCAGACGATCGGTCATCGAGACGAACAAGCTTTGGAATCACGAGTACGAACTGCGAGGCAAGTATTCGGCGAGTACCTTCCAGCAGGCTATTTGAACGAAACCGAACTGCGATTGTATACACGGCTATACGGCGAACCGATAATCAAGGTGGAAGAGCCACAATCGGAGTTGGAAGCTGACTTGGCCGAGGAGGATAGAGATCCCCATCGCTTGTTTCAAGAGGATGGCCAGGGAGGCTGGAAAGAAGTCGAGTTTGCGAGGGTCGAGTCGCAAGATGATGGGCCTCCGCTCGTCTATGATATGGAAGTCGGTCCTCCTGTGGAAGAATCGGCCGCTATGCGTCGCACGAGAGAAGTGGCAGAGCAGCTTGGTGGGGAACTGATGCTGGAACAATTCGAAGACGAAGCGGTTCCAGACGCGACCCCTCGCTTGCATCCCTTGACGAGAGAGGGAAAGTTCTCTACGGACCCAAGCACTGTATTCTTGCCGAAAGACACCGTAACTGGCCCGATTTCCGTCATCCTCTCCGAATTCTCGAACAGGCATATCGCCGACGTCGCTCATCGGACTTTTGGCGGCCGGTTGCTACCTCACTCCACCACAACTCCCCCTCCGCGCGCACAGGTACCCCAGCTTCCGATTCCCCTCGAGTCTTCTCAGCGCCACATGAGTCAGATGGAGGGAAACGTGTACATGGCAGCTTTATACCCCGGCATGTACGCATCTGCTTTGAGCGTACTCGTCGAGGTTCGGAAGCGATTGGGCACAGACTGGATACGTCGGCTGATTGCACAGGAGGGTGGTCCCAATGTTCTGGACGCCGGCGCTGGTGGTGCCGGAATTCTGGCTTGGAGAGACGTCCTTCGTGCAGAATGGGAGGCTATGGTTCCAGATCATCCCGAAACAGATCCTATCCCATTGGGTAGATCGACAGTAGTCACAGCCTCAGAAGCGCTCCGCAATCGCGCGAGTGTAATGCTGGACAACACAACTTTCCTGCCACGCTTGCCCGACTATGTTCATATTCGTGAGAAACCAACTCTCGAAGACGAGCGGCCTCCGCCCCCGCGCAAACAATACGATGTCATCATAGCGCCACATACTCTGCTTGGTCTGGAGGAAGAGTATATGCGGAAAGAACATGTCGAAAATCTTTGGACTCTTCTGAATCCTAACGGTGGAGTTTTGATTCTTCTTGAAAAGGGCCACCAGAAGGGATTCGAAGCGATAGCCGGCGCTCGTGAGATGTTGCTGAAACGCTACATTTCAAGTCCCGGCTCTACACAATACGAAGAACTTACCGAGTCTTCTAACGAGAACCAGCACATTGACAAAGAGGAAGGCATGATTATTGCTCCTTGCACAAATCACGCGAAATGTCCCATGTATACTGTTGCTGGCCATGCCAAGGGTCGCAGAGACTTCTGCCATTTTGAGCAGAGATATATTAGACCCGCTTTCCTTCAACGAATCCTAGGCGCCAAGGATCGGAACCATGAGGATGTCAAATTCAGTTACATAGCGGTTCAACGTGGTGTGGATCTACGCAAGGAGATGAACATCGTCCAAGGTCCTGAAGCCGCTGAAGCGGCCTTTGCCGGATATGAGCACCTTCACGATATGGAGTCGGAAGACACCGATGTCTCAGGTGACGTTCTGACCAGCGAGCCTTCGGATACTCAAAACGGCCAAGACTTCCATGCGTTGTCTCTCCCTCGCGCCGTGTACACTCCAATGAAACGCCGTGGACACGTCATCTTTGATTTTTGTACACCAGCAGGAAAGATCGAACGCTGGACCGTTCCTCGTTCCTACAGTAAGCAAGCTTACAAGGATGCTCGCAAAGCCCGCTGGGGAGATCTGTGGGCTCTTGGTGCGAAGACCCGCGTTCCGCGGAGCTTGAGAATCGGTGAAAAGCATGGTGAGGGCAAGAAAGAACGTTTGGCGAAGCGAGCTGCTTCGAAAGCCGCTCTAGGTGGATCCGAAGACGGTGCTTTGGAAACTACCTCGTCCGAAAACTGGGATGTATTCGCAACCCCTGTGAGAAAGAAGGGTCAAACGATTCCCAGTTGGAAGAAGCATCAGGACAAGAAGAAGATCAGACAGGCCTCGAAGAAGCAATCTACTGTCAAGCTGACGGACAATGATCTTGACTAAACTGCATGAATCAACCAACAATGTACATTTTGGGGGGAATAACGGAATAGGTTTGCGGCTTATCATGGTTCATGGGTATACTACAACTTTGAACAGTCGGGATCGGAATACTTGTGTTGCATTCGCGTGTACAATAGAACATCACTGCATAGAGCGCAGTTACAATAAAGCTCTTCACTCAGAACTGCTATTCTTAATCACATGCAATCCTTCCGGGTGCACATTCATACACTCGTCATGTTATTATGGACGGTGGCCTTTCCCAGGGCAGCTAGAAGCAGCAGTTTTGGTCGATTGCCAAACGTAATCAACTCAAGTCGGCCTAGGCGCTTGTTGTCGTTTGCACGAGGCTATTTCTCGCGAAGCCCGTTCGGTGGTGATCGAAAGGCATGCTGCCTTGATCGGGGGCCCGCCAGACGCTCTGTTCCTTGGAACATAGGGGCGGACTCGTTTCCCCATAGGTTTTATCGCATAGTCGCAGATAGCCGGTGGCTTCACTGTCTGTTTTCGACCTGGCAATATATTCCGTAGATGTAGTGTTCGCGACAAAGTCTTATTCGGATCGAGGGTAGATCCCCTTTGAGCTACTGAAAGGCCATACTTTTTCTCAATTGACGTTCACGTTGTTGACTCTGCAGCTCCAGTCGCTCAACCGTGTACTTCAGTCGTTCCTTCTTCTGGACGAGTCGTCTGTATTCCGCCGCTTTTGCGATAGCGCTACCAGCGTCTTGACTCTGTCGATCGCGCATTGCGCCCAGACCGCGACTCGAAGATTGACGGCTGTCGTTGGAGTGAAGTCGGCCCTCCTGGAGCTCGCATTTAGCTTTAAGGGCCTGTTCGCGACGGGAGAGCTTTTCGACATGGTTTGATGCTAACGATAATAGATGCGCGATACTCGGTGTGATTTCATCCAAGAGTGACTGCTGTGCTTCGCGCAGAGTAGGTTCGGGAAGGAGCTCAAAGTGCTAGCATCCAATCGAAGAATCAGCAAATCAATGAAAATGATAGGCTTGCCGTACTGTCATGTCTCTTACCCGCGTCGTCTGCAAGACCTTGCACAATCGGGGAAAGTCGCTAATAGCGGAGTCGAGAGTAGAGATGGACGAATCGAGGGTTTGTAATGAGGATTGAAGTGAGTCAACCGAGGCTTGAAGTGATGCAGCCATATTGGGCACCTGTTACTATTGTCTTTGTCTGAGGTGTAGATATGCTCCTGTCTTTTCGCATGTTGTTCCTCATTGTTTATTTGCTGCGGAGGGGTCTGTCTGCGGGTCAGTAAAAGCGGCACTGGTTTAGTGCCCACTCCGTAAAAGCGGCCGGATATCGGCCTTCCGGGCAAACCTCGTTGCTTCCGCTTCTCCTCATCGCACCGTTCTCAAGCTCTACCAACTCTCTGAACCCTCCGCAACCAGAAGTCAGCTTCAAATTGCATAATAAGTCGCAATGTCTCTCCTCGGAAAGAAGTTCCCTGCCCCTGTGGGTATGTTATAAGACCCCTACTACGCTCGTGCGATGGCGATCGAATCATGTAACTAACCGCTCAATCACAGCCAAGCCTATGGCTCCTTTCTTCGCTGCCGGTATGCCATCTTGATTTCATCGCGGATATGTTGAGCTCGCAGATCGGATCGGAAAAAAGCGGTCTCGATCTTAGCCAAAGCCGGAATGACCAGTCTAACAAGGATTTTGTTGCAGGTGTCGTCATTCTCTACGGCGTCAACTCTCTCGCCAACGCTCTGATGAACAGTGAGCCTCCCTTTTGTACTCGTGATTAGAATGGACGGGTCCCTCTGTGGATGCGCCTCGACCAAGCGTTCTGAATCCCGTCGCCTCAATCAACAATGGCTGACATTTACGTTTCTAGCCGAGGAGTACAAGAACGATCCCCGCAACCCTAACGCTAAGAACGTCAAGCACTGATTTCATTCCAAAATTTTCAATGATACCAGTATGGCGGAGGAAAGAGGACGGTCAATGGTGGCATCACTCCTGCATTACTGTTGCACTTCGCTCTGAGTTCGCGTGCAGCCAACCTGTACCAGCATATAGAATTTACCGCATTGGGGTATTCTGACGAATAGTAAAGGTGTACAATTACTTCCACGATCTCATCTCCGTCTGTCGCACGTACTCTT